GTGGATTTTGAAGAATTCGAGCCTGAAGCTTTGGTGGAATCCGGAGTGGCTCATCAGAAAGACAATTCCGAGGTGAAGACGGGGTTGGAAGAGGCACATAGAGGTTGGTTCAATTCGGGCGTGGATTCGCTAGGTAATTGAGAGTATACCTATGTATGAGAGTATTTGTGACGGTATTTAGTGCCGTCGCAAATGCTCTGCTTTTTTGAGACGGCATTTTCTGCCGTCTCAAAAAGTGACTTTTTGAGATGGCAAGTGTGCCGTCGCAAATAGTTCCGTCTCATATACCCAGTTTTCTTGTAGTGGTTCCACACTCAGAACTTAAAGACAAATAAATAAATACAAAATTGTAAAACGCAACAATTTAAGGCGCACCACGTTAGGAATGCACAAGTGGGGATGAGTATTTTAATTTCATCTGCGAAAGTTTGTAATATTTGTCCGAATGGGACGGATTTTACCCATTCAGACACTTATGTGTGGTGGGAGTAGATTATGTTAAATCGGGTATTGGCGGGGGCGGGGAATGGCAAACCCGCCCCGTGGCCATCCCTAAGTGCACAATAGCCAACGTTATGCAGCAATATAGGCTTATTTCGGTATCTATTTTGATAATTTGAATGGTTCACATTTTAGAATATATCAAGTAGAATGTATCTACAAAAACTTAAGGTGATCGAATATCGTTAACCCTTTCATCCACTCACTTGTGTATTCATTTTTATACTTTAAATTATAATTATTATTTATTTTTGTAGATACAAATGTAATTTGAAAAATAGTTAACGATATCCAATTAATTTAATTTTTTATAAATATATTCTACTCAATACACTTTAAAATAGAACAAATTTAAATTATTAAAACGGATTTTGAAATGAGCCTATGCGGGGGCATTTTCATGTTTTCTTTCTTATCTAGCAACGTGGTTCAGGCAATTATTTGTTCTATTGGCCGACGTGGAATGTTATCCCCCGATACTCATAATTTAAAGGATGATGTTAGGGATATTAAATTTTTTTACTAAATGATTGACCAAATATCTCATATGTGCCCCCTTACACTTATGTGAGATATTTAGTTATTCATTTAGTAAAAAATTTAGAACCTATAGCATTTTCCTAATATAAAATGGATCTCGCCGGATTTTGACATTACGAGTTTTGTTTCAGTAATTTAAACTAACGGGTGGCACACGTAACACACATAACTAATAATAAAAAACAAATAATAAAAAATTTAATATCACTATATGTATGTTGCTTAAGTGATAAGTATTTTCTTAATAAAACCCAAAGTCTTGGGTTCAAAACTAACTTACGCTATATATAATATATATTTTTTTATTTTAGCATATATAAAGTTGTCATATGATATGAGGAGAAGAATGTTTCACTAAACCAATTTAGACTTTTATTTAATAATAGTATAGATAGATAGATAGATAATTTATTTTATTAAATTTTTATGTGTATATCAATTAATTATTATATAAATTAATATTTTATTAAAATCTAATCTAATTATATTAAAAGGGTGAGTGTTTGGGCATGGTAGATCAATTTTGAGGTTAAGTTCGGTGATTTGGAACGTTTACTTTTTAAAATTTATTGGGTAGAATATTCATATAAAAAATAAGATAATTAGACATTAGTAACTATATATTTGAATCACATTTGTTTTACAAAAATGAATGATAATTATAATTTCAAGAATAGTCATCTAATTTTTCTAAAAACAATGCTAGGAATAAAAAAATTACAAAAAAAAAAATTACTAAACACTCACATGAGCATGAGACTCACACTCATGTGGGACCCATAATTTGAGTGTTTGATAAAACATTTGAAGTCTCTAACATTATTACTTTTATAATACAAATGTAATTTAAATATATACCTATCGATATTCAATCATGTTATTTTTTTTTTAAATATTCTGCCCAATGAATCTAAGTAAACAGTTTGGATTTAGGGGTGGTTTGAGATTTACTTATTTACTGATTTCTTGGATTTTTATAAAAAGATGTGCATAAAAAGTAGGAAGCCGATGTGACTTTAGAAAATAAATATATACTTATTTAGGGTGTTTCCAAACAAAGCCAGTCTCAAAATAAACCCATCAAGTCCAAATACCATATGCAAGTTAGGCTATTTTTGAATTTAATTATCATAAATAGCATAGCTAAATATTATGAGAGTTATAACTAAAAAAAAATGAGTTATAACCAAAGAACTCTTGATTCATAAGTAAAATAATATCATAACTAACATTACCACAGATAGGGTTGTGCAAAATACTATCAAATTAACCGCACTGATTTACAACATTCTGCATCGTTCAATCTGCTAACCGTGAATTAAACTTTAACTTTTATAATTCACTTTTAAAATTGTTCCACTCCACTATAATTAATACATGTATATTTTTTAATTTCTAATGAAATATTAAAGTAAAAATAAGTATGAAAGAGATTTAAGATATGAAATTAGTTATATATATGAGAAATATTATGTAAAATTAGTTTGTATTAAAAATATTATGCAAATTAGAATTATGCTTGCCACGACCCAATCCCCGCCCCAAGGGATTAGCGATATGACTGGCCAGTAATCTAATATTACTGAATGCCTACTTAAACAAAAGCATAATTATAGGGGCTTGCAGAAGCATATATATTAAATATAACATCCAATGAACTGTGCAGACTTATATGAAACAAAATAAGTTTCCATATATATATGCATACATAAGTAACACCACAATATTTTACATACCAAACAAAATCTTAAGATAAGGGTTAAACCCTACAAATAGTAACATCTTCATCTCACTTCACAATAAACATGATTAATTGATTTCACCCCTAGGTAATGCAAGAGGTACTTGCAATCAGATATGAAATTGTTAAGATAGTGATACTTGTTACTGTTCCCCAGAATGAAAAGTTTCAAACTTGTGCATC